GTGATCCCCTTTGGCGGACCATCTGACAAGCGAAATCAAGATTCACTTAACAACCGGGTTGCTAACTTAACAACTGCAGCGATTCCCTTCACAGCTTTGGCAAGGGCGTAAAATGGGGTAAAACTTCCTTAACAACTGTCTTGCTTAGCCACAGAAATCTTGGGCTCAGATTTGGTCGTTAAGTCAAGGACCACCTGTACTTTCGTAAAGACATAAGTCAATGTACTGAAGTTGGCCTTGAGGTCGCCCAGCTGGTCAGTTTTAAATAGAGATTTGGGGAGTCAATGCTGTAAATGGCTATTGGTCACCATGGCTGTTCAACGTGCTTCTGAAAAGAATTGCCAGAAACTTGAGCGGGAAAAGGCTAGCCCAGGGGTAGGCAACCTTGGCTCTTTTATGACTCGTGGACTTCAACTCCCAGAATTCCTGAGCCAGCCACGCTGAGGGGAAAGAGAGAGGTTTCCAAGCTGAGCCATGGCTGGCTCAGGAATTCTGGGAGTTGAAGTCCACGAGTCATGAAGGGGCCATAGTTCCCTCATGCTGGCTCAGGAATTCTGGGAGTTGAAGTCCACGAGTCATAAAAGAGCCAAGGTTGCCTAACCCTGGACTAGCCCACTCATAACTGGTTCCTGGTTCCAGGCTTCTGAACTGGATGCATTCCCGTTTCTGGGGCTCAATCAAGTCAAGTCATGCTCAGCTATGACTTTGGACCATTCATTTGTTCTTAGTCAAAGGCAATAAAATGAAGATAGAGCTGCCCACCCCACCACAGCCCCATGTCTCCTCTTGAGCTGCTGGAGGAAAGGCAGAATAATGTCAGGCGCAAAGGATCGAGACCATACGTTAAGTTGCAGCACAGAAGGTTTATTATTTCAAGCCTATTTAGTCAACTAACGGTCAACCCTTAATTGGTGCTAGATAAGGACCAACGGAGTTCAAGGGGGACTGGATCTTGGATTGTTTGTGGCAATGGAAGGACTCTAAACTGATGACATGTTTAACTCCGCCCCAGCTCTGCCTGCTCTACTCCTACAGATATATATATATACAGATATATAACTAACAAACAAGCAAATATTAAGTCTGAGGCAAGCTCTGCTCCATTTGTTGTCTAAGCTGCCTCTGATCATGTTCAGCTCAAGTCTGCCTTACACACCCCACTGTGTGTATCTGCTTCTCTTGTTCTACTCCATTTGTTTGTCTTTTTTTCTCTCCGTGCGTTTGCTCGTTTTTTTTCCTGTATATCACCAATCTGATTTCTAAGGCCAGGATTTACATACCTATTGTTCACGTATTTTGCTGAGCTGTCCTCATTAGGGAAATACCTTCTAACTAATAGGCACAGTCTGGCTGCATCCATTAAACACTTCTCTAGGTCTTTCCGATATTATTTTTGCTTCCTGGCTCCATTTCCTTCTATTTAGAAACACGTACCTTGTAATATACGTAACATTTTAAAAAACTTTAAGCCCTTGGACAAGGACATGGTAATTTAAGATGCCAGGGCTCGTTTGATGTTTAATATATATATAAAAAAGGAAAGATGCAACACACGCTGCTTCCTAAAAGACCAAACCAAACTTCTCCATCTGGGACTTTAAAGCTTATATGTGACCGAGGTACCTCACTTAGAAGATCTGAATGCCGATACAACTGTGAGGCTGTTTTAAAAGAAGAGCAAAGTGTTCAGCCCAACAGAGAATGATTCCTTGCACGCAAAAAAAAATACTCGGCCCCAGCAGTCCCTCAATATATACAGACTTTTTGTTTTTTTGAAGTCAAAATCACTATGAACCATAAACACGTTTCCTTGGGAATTTAACGCAATGATAAATACAAATAGGAAGGACAAAACGTACAGAAAACAGAACGTCCTTTGCATTTCTCGAGATGGTGGCAAGGTGCACCTCTGGGAAGGGAGAGTAAAAGAATGAGGAAAATGGTTGAAAGTGACAAAAAAGAAGAAGTCCCAAGTGAGAAGCAACCATTTCAACAACAGCACACCTCGGGGATCAAAATTGCTCAGAAGTAGCTCTCAGAAGTTGTGTTTTACTTACACGGCCTTTCAAAACTACTTCACTTTTTTAAAAAAAGATTTATTTGGAAGATACATCATCCTATATCCAGTGGTTGATGAAACACAGAATTTATATATATATATATATATATATGGCAAACTGGACAGCCCATGTACTTTAATCCACTAAACATATTTAAGCTCTAAGGGGCTGCCACAAAGAAGAGCTATTGTCCAAAGCACCAGAAGGTAGGACAAGAAACAATGGATAGAAACTAATCAAGGAGAGAAGCAATCTGGAACTAAAAAGACATTTCATGACAGTGAGATCAATTAATTACCTCCAGAAGTTTTGGGTGCTCTATCACTGGAGGCTTTTTAAAAAGAGACTGGACAGCCATTTGTCTGAAATAGTATAAGGTCTCCTGCTTGAGCAGGAGGTTGGACTAGAAGACCTCCAAGGTCCCTTCCAACTTTGTTATTCTGTGTGCAAGGTTACTAAGGAGATTCCATACACATCCATTGTCCAAACTAGACAATGCTCTATGCTACACATTATTCAACCCTTTGCTTTAAAAATCGGGGTACTGGTACTGGTTACGAAATATCTTACAGTACAGGGTGTAAAAGAGAAGAAAATGAAAACAGTGAATTAAGAGCTAAGATTTTCCAAAGTGTCTGAAGAAATAATATTTTCCGGCATGCAGTCACGACTTATAACTGATCCAAACGTTCAATTTCTCCCACTCTCCCACCTTTGGTTGTCCTTGTAATGATTAAAAGGTAAGCAACCAGGACATGGCTATCTTTTGACAAACAGAACGATGGCATGGATTGGAGATGCCAGAATTCTCCAGACATGGATTTTAACAGCATACTTACTGTTATCTTGCGAGGACAGTCATTTGAGCAAAGGCCACTGAGAACTGTGGATAAACAAGAGAGCAGAACCAACGGTTGTTAGCACTGTGAACAGGCAAACACCCCCCAGTTTAAAGATGGCTGCTGCTTCTATTCTCGTTGGCAAAGGCAAACGAAGCGATAAAGGCTCAGGGATGCAAAATTAGGGATGTCTGTCTCTCCCACGATTATGAACTTGGAAAAACATTATTTCTGATGCCGCTTTGCGCAATGAAGACGCCCTTGTGTTTTATAATCAACTGAATGACTTGGTGCCAAAGACAGATATAAGCCTGAAAAAAAAAATTAACCTGCCTGCTAAACATTATTTGGAAAAAAGCTTTCTAAAGGAATTTTTTTTTGCTCCTGGCTCATTAAGGCTATTAGAGCCTCAGATCTTGTTTGCAGATGTTTTGTTCCTTTCGAAATGCAAACATGAAAAAGTATTAATCGATGTATTAATTCGGGGGGCCTGAAGCAAGTAAAACATACTGACCACGGAAAAGAAAACATTTGAATGCTGTGTTCATTCTTTGCTGTCTTCTTTGCCCTTAATCCCTTCAAAAAACACCTGTTCTTGAAACCACTTCATCTTGGTGCCAAGACAGCTTGTAACATGCTGTGATTAAGCAGCTGATTCCTTAATAACTTACCGCAAAAGCAGGGCATCTTTGAAAAGAGTTTGCCCTCTATAAAGCATTTAAAAGGGGGGAAAAAAAGCAATTGGTAGATTTGCAGTTTTAAACTATAAACATTGAAGCCGCTGAAGATGTTACCTAGCCTGGTACCGAAATGTTTGGAAACCAACTCACAAGCTTGGAGAACGAACCGTCACCCTCACCCTACCCCCCCCCCCAAGCTACAGATATTTGCCACTATTGCAAACTATAAACACCGTTCGGACTGAAGCAGAGGAAAAAGCACATTTACCATTGCCCTGGACTTTCTGCACTGTCCTACTTTGTCACTTTTATACTCATGAAGGAATCAGAAGATACTTATCCTTGTTCAAATATGGGCCAGAAGCAGCTTATGAAATACTGGATGTGAAGTATACGACTAATCCAAAGAACAGGTTAATCGGACAGATGATCTCAAAAACCCTCACTAACTAGGTCAGTGATGGCGAACCTTTTAGAGGCCGAGTGCCCAAAAAGTGGCCCCGCCTGCTTCACCCCCTGCCCCACCCCCACTCTGCCTCCACCCCGCCTGCCCGCAGGGCCACTCACCACATCCAGGGCCCGCCGCAGATCGCCCAGGCAGCCCAGCAGCACCATGGCAGCCACACCCTCTGCCCGCGCCCCGCAGCATCAACTGTGCACGATGAGGCATGAGGGCAGTCTTGTCTACGCTGCCTGGCTGCGCTGCTCCGTGTGGGCCACGCTCGGGGGCGACTCTCCTCCAGGGGGGCTGCTGGTGAGGAGGGGAGTGCAGGGGGAGGTGAGGCTGGGGCAATGGCACGTGTGCCCACAGAGAGGGCTCTGAGTACTGCCTCTGGTACGCGTGCCATAGGTTCGCCACCACTGAACTAGGTGAATAAGCAAAATTGTTGCTCTGCAATTCTCCTGCAGAAGGGCAGTTTACGAGAGCTGGAAAAAAAAGCTGATTTTCTTGGATTGTCACCCACTCCACTTGTAATACTGAAGGCGGAGCGAAAGCACTGATGACAGAAAGGTGCATATATGTGAACGGGGCCTCCATTACTGCTAAACCACATCTCCTTGCTTTCCTCACTATTAATAAAGCTGGATGGGACGGCTAGGATTTGTGGTTCTGTAGAACCCAGGAAAAGACTGCAATTAAGTGGTGGCTCCGTGGTTAGAATGCTGTATTGCAGGCTAATTCTACCGACTGTCGGCAGTTCGATTCTGACTGGATCAAGGTGGACTCAGCCTTCCATTTTTCCAAGGTCGGGAAAATGAAGACCCAGATTGTCGGGGGCAACGTGCTGACTCTGTAAACCGCTTAGAGGGGGCCGTAAAGCACTGTGAAGTGGTATATAAGTCTAAGTGCTATCACTAAGAGCTATCGCTATTAATTTAAAATGTATTTTATTATTTTACTGTAAACTTTAGAGAGCCTCTTCTCCCACCCAACATCTGAAGCCAGTTTTATCCCTCAGAGCTGGAGGATCAACACTTCCCATCAGAATGCCTGATGAGGCAGAAAAATAAACTCTTTTTATGACTATCCTAGCTGTGGGTTGACATCTCCCCAGCTGTGTAGTCAGGAACAGCAAGCGGTAGATTGTCCTGAAGTTAATTCTCCATAGCTCTGCCTAGAAACAGCCGTATTCCTGAGATGCAGCTAACAGTCTTTCGTATTTGCTTCCTTTAGATAATTTCTCCCATCTAAACAAGAGCGGGATCTCAGAGTCCTAGTGGGCAATCACTTAAGTATGAGCCAGCCGTGTGCTGCAGCTGACAAAAAAAAGCCAACACAGTGCTAGGCTGCATTAACAGAGGGATAGAATCAAGATCCCGTGAAGTGTTAATACCACTTTACAATGCCTTGGTAAGGCCACACATGGAATGCAACATCCAGTTTTGGTCGCCACGATGTAAAAAAGATGTTGAGACTCTAGAAAGAGTACAGAGAAGAGCAACAAAGATGATCAGGGAACTGGAGGCTAAAATATATAAAGAACAGTTGCTGGAATTGGGAATGACTAGGGGGGACATGAAAGCAGTATTCTAGTATTTGAGGGACTGCCACAAAGAAGAGGGAGTCAAGCTATTCTCCAAAGTACCAGAAGGCAGGACAAGAAGCAACGGATGGAAACTAACCAAAGAGAGAAGCAACCTAGAACTAAGGAGAAATTTCCTGACAGTTAGAATAATTAACCAGTGGAACAACCTGCCTCCAGAAGCTGTAAATGCTTCAACACTGGAAGTTTTTAAGAAGAGACTGGACAGCCACTTGTCTGAAATGGTATAGGGTTTCCTGCCTGAGCAGGGGGTTGGACTAGAGGACCTCCAAGGTCCCGTCCAACTTTATTATTACTACTACTATTATTAAGAGGTGAAAACAAATTTGGGGTGTGTGTTTGTGTGTCTGTGATGACTTGGACCATTTGTACTCTCCAGTCCTGGTTCCTAGGAGGGAGGGAATGCATTCCAGAAGAGCAAGAGACAGCAAAGTTTAGATTGGTGCTTGGGAGGAAGAGAATTAAGATGACTGCTCCCTAGGAGTTCTCGGAGTATATTTTGAATGATAGCAATAGCACTTAGACTTATCTTCATAGTGCTTTACAGCCTTCTCTAAGAGGCATACAGAGTCAGCCTGTTGCCCCCAACAATCTGCATCCTCATTTTACCGACCTGGGAAAAATGGAAGGTTGAATCAACCTTGAGTCGGTCAGAATCAAACTGCTGGCAGTTGGTAGAATTAGCCTGCAATACAACATTCTAACCACTGCGCCACCATTGCTCTTAATGACGGAAATAGTTGCTTGAGCTTGGTAAGATATCTGTTTATAGATGAGGAACAGTCAAAGAAACTGTTTTGTAAAAACTGAGCATGTCTTTCTCGGTTTTTGAAGTCTGAAACTCCATACATTTTAACAAGCTGTTGGGTATTCCAGGAACTATCAACAAATCTATTTTCCCCCCTGCTTTTCTGGTTCCCCTTTAATGCCTGTTCTTGCTTCAACACCTTGCACCTGAGACAAAGACATCAAAGTAACATCGTTGTTGATGTTTTTGCTCTTGAGTAACGTGGAGGATAAAAGAGAAACCATAATGTTACTCATTTCATTAAATTTAGAGGCCATCCAATTCCAAATGACTCTGGGTAGTTGACATTACAAAAGACCCAAGAAAAATCATAAAAAATTCCAAATGCTTCCCGAAACATTCGTACTGTATTACTTTTTTATACTTAGGCTTTTAGTGAACTCAATGTGTAAAAAGCAAATGGCAAGAATGTTCTAAAATAAACAGGCCTGTCTCAGATTAATTGGGTTTTCTTTAACCTGTTCCTCTCAGGTATATCTTTTAATGTAATCTCCTATCTCACCTCATTACTACTTAATAGCCATCTTTCTGCTGTTCTTAGGCTGGGTGGAAAACTATAAGCAGTATTGGATTTTCCCCTTTAATAGCATTTTAATGTTTTCATACTGAGCCACTCACCAATGACTTTAACAAAGTAGGCATCTGCTTCAAAGTTATTTTTTAATGCGTGGATTGCAAGCTCTTTTTTAGGAGAATTCTTGCTGAGGACAATTATATCCAAGATTCCCTAGAGACAAAAAAAATGCAAAAGCACGTAAATGAATCAACCACTCAAACAGCACTTAAAGTGTCAATAAAGTAAAAAAAAATGAAAATATGAAGGTCATAATGGTCATGGAGATTCTCAGCCATCCAGGTCATGACCCCTGACATGAACCAGTGTTTTAAATCAGAGTTAATACAGTGTAAGAAAATGTGGAGGGCAACTAAGAAGGCAGGAAAAGGGCAGAAAGAGCTCAACTCACGTCTTCGTAAATATCAAAGAAAGTGGCCACCACGGCATCCTTGATTTGATTTAGATCGGACAGCGCCCAGTGAACCTTAAACGCCCGGCGTGCACCCTTGCAGCTTGTATTCCTACATTCTTCATTCTCCAATAGGAAAGCCTGTTGGTTGCTGCAAAGGAAGGCACAAAACAGGTATAGGACTTAGCTGCCCCCCCCTTTCATGACACCAATTGCAAGCCAGCATCGTAAACATTTACTGAAAGTCCCAGTCAGCAGCCCTGGATTGCAAAGTGTGGGGGTTAAAGTGATTATCAAACAAGAAAACCTCTAGGCAAGATTCTTTAAAAACAAAATAGCACTCTAAACAGGTTCCAGTGCTTAATGGCTTAAAAAAAAACACCTAGAAGAACACACAGTCCTGATGGCAAAAGTGGTAATTCATGTACAGGTTGTGTGCTATTTCCAGTCTGGAAGAGACAGTATTTTTGTCTGAGTTCTTGATTCACTCCAAAAGACACTCTTGGTTGAATCCTTGCCCTAACTTAGAGGAACCACAGGAAAGAAACAGAAGGTTACCAAGCTTCAAACTATCACTTGCTTTTGCCATCCTGCTGTAGTCACTTCCTCTGTTTGGTCAAGCTGGACAATTTTACACAAGCAATTATATAGATTTATCTGTGAGCCCCCTCTCACTAGGTCAGTCTGCCCCAATCTGCTGTTCTTTAGGTGTGGTGGGACTGCCTCCTTATGTTCTCAATAACCTAGACCAAACCAGTTGGGAATATTTGTTATGGAGAACTTCGGAAGAGTTAGTTCTGCACAGATGGTGTTTTTTGCTACAGTAAGCAAAATATCTGGTTTCTTTGAAAGTGGATGTTAAAGGCAGTCAAACATGCACATAGATCTTTAAAGTTGAAGAGGCTAAAACATATAAGGAACGGTTGCTGAAATTGGGTATGTCTAGTTTAACGAAGAGAAGGACGAGGGGGGACATGATAGCAGTCTTCCAATATCTCAGGGGCTGCCCCAAAGAAGAGGGAGTCAAGCTATTCTCCAAAGCGCCTGGAGGCAGGACAAGAAGCAACGGATGGAAACTGATCAAGGAGAGAAGCAACCTAGAAGTAAGGAGAAACTTCCTGACAGTTAGAACAATTAACCAGTGGAACAACCTGACTCCAGAAGTGGTGAATGCTGTGCTGGGCAGGTGTCAAAATTTTGACACGGAGTGCCGTGTCAAAATTTAACAACACTCAACTGCACGGCAGTAGAAAGGACAGATTCTTAACCGTTTTTTCCTTCTTCCTGTAAAAATTCCCTGCAAACAGAAAGGCCGGGAAACATGCGAAAAAGTTCAGCCAGCCTGAAGCAGCTGCACTCCAAAAATAGACCCTGGCACACGCGTGTGTGTGTGTGGGGAGGGAAGGTGGGGGGAATTTGGCAATTTACAGTGATGTAAGTTGATGCCCAGCACAGCAAGGTTGCAGGCAGACAACGTACCCCTGAAATCCCTTAACCCATCACCACTGGGGCCTCCTTGGATGGGGGTTCTAAAGGACCAGATAAGGCTGAGGTCCCCAACCTTTTGAGCACCAGGGACAAGTTCCATGGAGAAAAGGTTTTCCACGGACCGGAAAGTGCCTGGTTTTGTGTGCTGCCTGCATCCCATGGATGGGGCTTTGCTTATTTGTGCAGACCGGTTGCTGGCATGCCGCGGCCCGGTATCGGTCCACAGACTGGAGTTGGGGACCCCTGAGATGAGGGATGCTGATAAGCCAAAGGTAACCTGAATCTGGATTTGTTGCAGAGATATCACCCTGCCAACAAAAGTGCGTATAGTCAAGGCCATGGTTTTCCCAGTTGCAATGAATGGCTGTGAAAGTTGGACCATAAGGAAGGCTGAGCGACAAAGAATTGAGGCCTTTGAACTCTGGTGCTGGAGAAGACTCCTGCGAGTCCCCTGGACTGCAAGGCAATCAAACCGGTCAGTCCTAGAGGAGATCAACCCTGACTGCTCTTTAGAAGGCCAGATCCTGAAGTTGAAACTCAAGTACTTTGGCCACCTAATGAGAAAGAAAGACTCACTGGAGAAGAGCCTAATGCTGGGAAAGATTGGGGGCAAGAGAAGAAGGGGACGACAGAGAAATAGGTGGCTGGCTGGAGTCACTGAAGCAGGAGGCGTGAGCTTAAATGGACTCCAGAAGATGGTAGAGGACATGAAGGCCTGGAGGAACGTTGTCCATGGGGTCGCGATGGGTCGGACAGACTTTGCAACTAACAACAACAAAAATGGGCAGTCTTTGTTTAGCGACCACACCTGGGGCTGGTGACTCGGTGGTAAAGCGAAGGATCTCTTTGTGAAACCGTGACTGTGCTTATGATCTGACTTCAGCTTCCCTTTGCTTCTGCGAAGATCATAAATGTGAGGATTGGTTACTTTTCCATTACTGCTGTAACGGTGGTTCGCTAAATGAGGTAGTTGGTAAACGAGGTCTTAATTGAATGAAAGTATAGATGCTACGTTTTGCAGTGCTTTTATCTTGATGGTGCTTCGACTTAGTTATTTCTCAGGACAGAGGACATTTTTTTTTTAACCATGGTTAGCTGAAAATCACATCTCCAGCAAGCCATCTGCGCTCTGGAGAAGGAAACAGGTTAGGCTGAAACAGAATCCTTTGCAGCTGGAACATCAGATACTTAAATTAGTATTTCAGCCTTCCTCCAAATGATTTGGCTGTTATTGAAAATTTAAGATCAAATGATAAACTAGGCTGGGACAACACACTGAAGTGAAAGCTAAACCAAGAATAGCAATAGCTGACATCACAAGACCCCAGGGTTGATCCCAAGGCTGGATATCTGATTTGTTTAATCTGGTTGGATCCTTTTCGTTTTATATATCGACATTTCCTGGGTGAAACCATGCCTTTATTAAGCCAAAGAAGCAAAGCACTGAAAGAATTTCCACACGACTGTCAATTTGCCAAACATTTTTCTCTCTCTTGATTCGCAAACTTTGAACACATAAGAATTTTTGGTGGCGTTTTGCAGAGAATTCCCTTTTCATTCTCTGGAGAGATCAGAATGGATGTTTGGGTATTATACATTGGATTGTTACAAATATGCATAAAAACTTTCATATGTGCAATACAAGATCCTGGTAACTGCAAACTTTATAAATGCAGAGAAAAGAGTAAGATAGTTCCTTTCCCGCTCAGATTTGTGTGTAAGTTAATGGATTCTAATGAACGCATGACAACCATATAATCAATCATTAATCTTATTTAGGTCACTATACACAACCTATTTTATAACTATTACAATAATCTTGGCTTTTTTATTGCACTTGTTAACAACTGTCAATATATTTCCTCTCTAAAATGGCATGCTAAGTGTTTCATGCTAAGAGCCTCCCCTGCCAATTATCAGCTCAGATTTTACAAGAATTTATAAATATTTATAACTACCTTTGGCAGTTCATTTGCCGGTGGGAGAAAAACTGATTTTGTTTTTAAAGAGCTACTCTTTCCCTACATACACACACACACACACACAAGCAGAAATAGCATAGGTAATTCAAATTCCGGTGTGGAAGTAGTAAATTTCAGTATGAAGGACCCCCATAAATTTATGGAACAAGTTAATCCTCTGCTAGTTTCGTGTTTGACAATCTGCCAGATGGACGCCAGCACAAAGTTGAGAGAAATAAAAGCTTCTAACAGCATATATGAAATATAGATCTCTCTTTTACTAGAGATGCAAAATTATTATTTTTCTTTCAAACTGTCTTTCAAAATGTGTCGCTATCATGATTTGCATTTTCCTTTTTTCTATCTATCTATCT